CCGGCCTCTCTGGGAGCCGGCCAGCTGCCCTGCCTCCGGGCACTGCCGGCACAGGCCTTGGTGGCGGTGGAAGGCAGGGACGGAGATTTGAAGAGCTCCCTTCTAGGCGAGGTTGTGGGATGTGTTTCAAGTTGCCCTTCTATCAGTTTAAGAGGAGCTTATCTGCGAATACTTTCAGGGGTTGAAAGGGGCCAACCAACCGAGGCTCAGCTTTCGGGCTAAATGGGAGTTTGGCGTGTGCAAGAGTTTGGGGACATTGGGCACACGGAGTGATACATACAGGTCAAAGAACTTGTGCCACCATCGGCTTGTTGCACATGATTCTGAACTTGCGAGAGCTTCTTACCGTGGTGGTTCATTTCCTTCCGGCACTGATTTCAAAAGGGTTCATCCGAAGTCATGCGAAGCTCGACGGGGCGTTACTGTTTATGTCTCACAAGCTTCTTTCTGGTTGAAGGAATTTCGATGTTTCCAGGCTTTTCGGGCGGGTACTGAGGCAAGATGCCACTTTGAGAATACATTGCGACTTTGCCCACGTCATTGCAGTTTCAACTTGCGGAGCATGGACCCTGTGCACATCTCTCTTGAAGCACGAGACGCCTTTAAGGTGCCGTGGTTCGTTCTCTTGCGCGAGGGAGCTTCAAGCTTATGGGCCTTGTCAGTTTGAAGACTCGTGGGCCCTTAGCAACTCTGCGGCAGAAAAGCCAAAGCAAGCCGGGCCCTTGACACGAAAACCTTCGAACCCCGGGCCCTGGACACAGATCCCAAAGCAACGTTCTCCAAGACGCCTCCCTACCCAGCTGGCATGGACGGCCACCGTCCCAGCGTCCACTCGCCACTGTGGCCGCTGATGCCGAATGGCTCCTATGACTGGAATGGGAATGCCCAGATCATAGAAGCTTTGTGGGCTGGCTTTTGCTTTGGCTAAGATGCTCCGAAAAGGGGCCCATGTCTTGCATCATCCCTGCACAGCACTCTAGTAGCATCGTGATGCAGCATTGAATACGCAAGCTCCCAATACCCT